AGATGTGCGTTATACTATACCCTTGAGATGCATATATCAGTGGATTTGATATATCCCTTGAGATGCATACATCAGAGGTTTTGATATACCCTTTGAGATGCATAGATGTGTGTTATACTATACCCCTTGAGATGCATATATATGTGGTTTTGATATACCCCTTGAAATGCATATATGTGTGTTATACTATACCCCTTGAGATGCATATATCAGTGGATTTGATATACCCCTTGAGATGCAGGGATTTGATACAGGACACAGATGAGTGCAACATATTGTACCCCAATCAGCTGCACAGGTCAGTGGTTCTACAAGAACGTGCACTGAGCACTAGTATCACATATCAAAGCTCCTTTTATTACATTTTCTTCTAGATTCTGAGTAGGAAGTATATCTACGTATTCCTATGATGCTAAGTGTTGTTATCAAGTACACATTAACACTTGTAAAAGCTTGCTGCCAAGGTATTTACTGCTTTAACATGCTAGACCTCATTTACTCCCTACCATGCACCACATGTAACATGTGACAGCAATAATGAATGGGTGTGGTCGCTCCCCTGACCCTTAGCCCCCTCCCCCTCAAACATGCTCTCTGTGGCCCCCTGAGGTTATCTCAAAAGGTCATGACCTCGCTAAACCTCCCACCCACCCCCTCACTTGAATAAGTTGGAGCCAGCAGGGCCGGCTTTGTGAATCACTTCAAATGGAATCCAGGCAAGGTGTGAGAAATTTTTTTACATTAAATTCAAATTAGGTTATTTGTGCACCAAATGGCTTTTTTGGCAGAAACATCATGGAAAGATAATTTAGCAAAGTGAAAAATATTGTGAAAGTACATTCTTATGAATTATAATGAATATCAAAAAGTTTAAATTTTATAAAAGAACATTACACTTAAACACTCAAACTGTGACAGTAAACATAGAATTGAAGAAAAAATTCTGTTATCTTGTAGTTGTGACAGGCTCTTGATAAGTGATATGGGGTAGAATGCAGGTAAGTGATAAAGATATGTGATACAGGTGTGCATTGATACCAGCTGTTAGCCAGGTATGATGTACAGGATCACCTACACCCAACATGTTGGTCTAAGTCATGTCAAACACTCATCCCATCCTATCACTGGCATTATCTGCAGTATCTCGTGACACGTAATGATGTTTAACTTGCAGCTAACGGGGAAACTGTTCTTCACCAGTAAAACAGTCTGTTGCCTGAGCCAAGGTAATGAATAAATGAGAGCAAGTGTTTACTGCTAATATCTTCAGATGTGTCGCTTTACTTCTTGGACATCACACAATTTACAGCAATCATTTGAGAAAGCATAATTACTTCAGAAATTAAATGTTAATGAAATGCCTCTGTAATTGACAGAACCTGTATTTACCAGTATGTTTGTATGTATGGCTGTATATTTTTATGCATGAAAACTTTTTGTTTTCAACTAAGTTCAAAAAGTTTTAAGGCTAGGTTTAAGGATGAAAATATCTCCTAAAAGGCCAAATCACAAAATGTGGAAAAACAATCGAGAATCAATCAGGCATGCAAGAATGTCCAAACACTCCCTACAAGGTCACCTGAAACGTGGTTACATAAAACACTCCCCAACAAAATGTTCTGCTCCAACGAACACTGCAAGATTTAGCTTTACCCAGTCTCCAATTGTGAATTCATAAAGCCTGCAATACCCATTCATACCCCACAATGATGCCCTTATATAGCCACAATGCCTTTCGGGTTGAACCTTCCTATACCCCTTTCTCTACAGCTTTATCAACGTGGTTCCGGTTAGTTTCCCCCCCCCCCCCCCCCCCCGAGCCTGGCCACATCCCAGTACACCAGAACCAATAGCCCAGAACAAATGCCTACTAAACAGAACCATGTGCCATATATGGGCATCAGATTTTACTGGTAGAGGTGGGAGCCCACTAAATGGACAATTTGTGTATAATTTACATCATGTCCTGATTTGGATAATAGACAGTCACGTTAAACACTCCCATGTTGGTTGTATATTGTCAATCTGTCATCAAGTGTTGACACAAATGTCAAAGGTAACCTGTGTCATACACTCGATACCACATCTGCACATTTAAATCACCATTATTTCAAGTTGGCCATGACGAATATAATCTCTTCTCATCTCTTCACAGCTATCTGAGTGAGGAACAATTGCGATGATCTTTGACTGACTTCGTTAATTAATAACTACAAGATGTCTCGTCACCACGAGGGACCAAGAGATGTAATTATCCCATTGATTTTCCCATTTCCTCCCTGGCAACATGAAGCTCAGCAGCCCTGGACTATAACCACACTATAACCACACAATAACACACCATTCACAGCTCCTTTGAGGGTTCTATAGGCCTTTTATTCCATATTTCATAATCAGCTAATTCTGAAGTGTCTGTCTACACTTTTTCCATCTGCAGATAAATATTACCTACCTAATATTCTAGAATACATTTTCCATACTTCAAACATCTCTCTTAACATTAAACACTAAGTCAAAAAACATGGAAACAAGGTTAATTTCGTTTAATCATCCGAATTCATAGTCCTCTATTTAGACACACACATGTAAATTTACCGATTTTTTTGTTTGTATTATTTAGCAGAATATTTATGGTAATGGTCGTAATCTAAACGTTCTTATCCTCTTTTAATGAGACTACACTGAGACATTATACATATCAAATTGCATGATTATGACTCAAAAAGACATGTGGGGAGGCTAGCCAGTACATGGGGAAATTTGATCAGATCGTTGTTATGTAATGAATTAATTATATACTTAATTTGTTGTTACACTTTTAATTGTAAAATGATATTTCAGGAGTTAGGGCCTCTTAAGAAGCAATCAATATCAATTAAGTTTGCATATCAAGACATAAGCAAGGATGCTTCAATTACAAAGCAATAAAACTAACAAATAACATAACATCAAAACAATTGTTGTTGATATTTATATACTAATACTTTGAACGCCAAGCAGAGCCAGGTGTGCAAAATTAAACACCTGTCAAGGTTGAGTGATTGGCAGTTCACAGGCCTGGCTGATTCTCAATCAACCAATCATTCTGGATCAATACCAGCTGACCGTAACACCATCACACTGTGGTGACCTAAATAATATACCAGCCTCAAGGACAAACTAAAACACTACTTGTTTTGATCATATAACCAGATTCCATGTTTTCATGCATATTCTGTTTACCTTGAAAATAGCAGGAACTTTATTACACAACAACCCAGGATTGTGTGATCCTGAACTGAAGGTCATTGGCTTTTCATACACACTGTTGTACAATGTTGAACACTGAATATATATTAACAATATTTTATGCTTCGTTGCAAACTGCTTTCAGCTGCATAATAACATTTAGGGGCCGACATGTAGAGGTATTTATTTATGCTGTGAACATGTCCAATGTCTGCAGTGTTTGTAGAACTATAACAGTAAATTCATACAGGGCTTTGCCTGGGTTATTTAGTTTGGTAGTCAAGGGGTTTGACAACCTGTTATGGTAGGGGGTCCAGATACAAAAATTGGTCCCCAAGCTAAAATTGAATACATAAAGGATATTTATAGTTTCTTTTCAAGGCAGAGTTTATCTCAATGAGTGATCTGACGAAGTTGATATTATAATAACTGGTGCTTTATTCCTTGCTTGTTTTCATATTTTATAAAATATGTAATGTCATATATAACTCTTACTTGAAGATCGTAAAACATTTGATTGTGTGTTGTACTGTTTAAACGATTAAGTATGGAAATTCATTTTAAGTGGTACCAAATTATGAAATGGCAGCATTCATTCATTCCGAAACATGGATACACATTTTCTGCCTCCCTGTGGATGCACTCCGTATTGTTTTGTGTATGTTCAAGCTTTTTGTGCCTAGGGCGCAGGACTTCGAATCCAGTAATCCTGTTCATATATATACATGTAAACTAGTCTCCCATTTTTATGCACTGAATTTGTTAATTTTTCAACAAACCAAACATACCAGGACTTGCAAACATATTTTTTGTATATTTAATGATGTTGGTTGAGCCACTTTAGGTATATCCAGAGAGGGATTTGCAGATTCCTGTGTATCGACCCTCCAGTGTTTAGTGTCTGGGTGTACATCCTTGGCACCCCCGCTGTCTCCTTTGGCGACACCATCCAGCTACAGGTATTGATTATAACACCCACTACATGTAGGTCAAGGTAGTCCTCCTCTCATGTCATTTTCTCTCAATTTTCATGATGATAGTTTACTACAAGGCAAGATTCAAATGTGGGTGTCTGCAAGGAATGCGTGTGTGGTAAATTGCATGTAAATTAGTGAATAGTCTGTTTATTACAGTTCTGACATCTGAAATTAATCCTGATCACTTAGTTGCTAATCTGTCCCTAACATAGTGGATTTGCCAATTAGAGATATGTCATATACCAGTATACAGAAACGTATGCTGCGCAAGCCTACATTCAATGCAATTTCACTGATGCAAGCTGCGATACAGACGAATATAGGTTAGCATGAAATGAACCGCTTTACTACAGAATATATCCAGAATACTACAGAAAATGAACCAGCCTGTTAGTTTCTATCCAGGATATTTGTCTGAAGTGAAACACGCAGGCTATCCGTGGTGCTATACTTGACGAGCGAGTCGGGAGTGTTGATTTGTCACTCAAGAGAGGTGTGGTCGTGCTGTCCTCCCACCGCTAACCCTACACACAACTGTTAGCGCTTCACTTCTAAAATACAGGGAATAACTGTTTGAAAGACACTAAAGCGTGGACTGGGTGATGTCTTTGCAACTCGCAACAGGTAGCTAGCTGTATGAGGACCGTAAACCGGTAGTGTGCGCACCCGAGCGTGTCAGCTGCTACCGGTTTAGACACACACAGCATTGGGGACAGTCCCCACCGGCTAATTTAATACTCCGCTTTGCAATAATTTTCAACTGAATGAGAAAATGGCAATCATGACTCCACTTACCTATGTTGACGATCCTGATGCCCTCATCCTCCTCCAGGAAACGCAATGACATCGTCACATTTTCCAACTTCTGAGTCCTGAAGTTGGGTCGTTTGTTGATGTGCTTGAATTTTTTGCCCGAAAGCACCTCAATAAGGGCCAAAAGTCGCAACCCATCGCTAAGATCAGATTCTAAATCCCCGAGAGACTTGTTGACAGTCTTGAGATGCTCGTTAGCCCACCTGGAAAAGGTGTTTTTCTGAATAAGCTTCCACTGAGCATCGTCAGCGAGATCTCGCTCGGTGGCCGGCATATCTTCGTCCTCGTCGAACTGTTCTGAGTCATCGTACTGCATCTTGCCGTATTTATCTCCCTTTGCCGCGACAGGTGACCGAGATTAGTTACAATGCTGTAATGGCCTATGGTGGACCGTCAGCGCAGCAGGAGTGCCGATATTCAGGCACTGAGTGGGCAGTTCAGCCGATCTTCTTCCTAAAACAGACGAAAAGGAAAGGGAGCATTAGTATTAATTTCACGAGAAGGAAAACCAGAAGAATGCCATTTGAAATGTCACACTTGATGTCCGTTTGGTCATTTTGAAACTGACGTAAAATGCCACGCGTTTCTAGATACCTGTGAAATTCCGTGTATGTCTTTGAAATGAAGGTAAAATCGAATACAACTTTACAAATAAATCTCAATATTATAGACGGAGTCAAACCCACTTATTCCCAGTGCTGCGTCCGTTCCCAGTGGAGTAAAATGACAGATAGAGTTGTGAATGACATGCGATGGAATTCAATTAAAATATCCCCTCTGCCATTCGTCAGAGCACATAAAACAAATATTTATTCTCTAACTTTATATAGAAATGTGGGCCTGGTTGATAGACCCGTGCGTCATGTTGCGGGCTCGGCTATGCGCCCATACCGCAATGTATATCAATGTATTGTCACAAGCGGAAACGACGAATCTGTTTCCGACTAGCTTTCCTTCTGATAAGCACACTTGGCAAATATATGAATACTACATCTGTAAGAATTGTAAGATCTGGTGATGTAATACTAGGGATATTCTCTGAATGTGAGATATGCGGAGGTTACACGACATCTATGACTGACAATACAATATTCACTGTCTGGAACATCCAAACATTCAAATAAAATCGGAATACGTTTGACACGATATATGAACACTTTTGAGTTTTGACAAGATATGTGAATAGTTTTGGCTCGATATAATATGTTTATTCAATTTATCACACTGTGTGTTGCAATATTTACAACTGAATTATAAAACAGTTGATCTGTTGTGAATAAATGATTTATACACCACGAATATTAACGTAGTTTCATTTTGAAAAGTACTTATTATCTATTCGTTTAATTATAGAAGTTATTCATACAAATTGATACATTTGTCAACAATGTTATCCAAAGCAAGTAAATGAGGCGGTGAAACCGCTTAATGCCATGTAATCCTGTACAACATTGTTATTACGTGACATGTTGCGTTAATTATTTCAACAGGGGTAAACTAAACTGGAGAATTTGAACCAGACATCGCTGATGACTTTAACTGACCCTCTTTCAAGGGGATTAGAAGTAGGGGGTCTGCAATATCGCCGGGGGTCGGGATCCAGGCTGTAATTTGATAGTTTTGGACATGAAGATGAACTTTATCAGGAAGATAGATTTTCCAGTTATTGCAAGCCCCCCTGGTGACCGGTACAAGACCCACCCCGGGGCTAGAGCAGGGGGTCGGGCACAGGGGGAGTCCCCAGATAACGCTGCGCGTGCATGCAGTGCTTCGTCCCATGTTTGGGCATGGCTAGGAATCTAAAGGTTATGGTCTGTGTTCAATAAAATCGGCTACTTAATGGAAGTGTACAGAGGCCGGTAGCAGTGCTGTGCACGGTGAGTCCGCTCTTTAACAGTAACTTCATGGTTTTAGGCCGCCGTCGCCGTGGCGTTATGCGCGACGATGTGTGCAGGTATGGCGTCTCTCCCTTCACCGCGACTATGGGAAGAAAAGGCACATAAACGCGACGAACGAGTCATTAAGTCTAACTAAAGTAACTGTTGCATGCCCAAACGCCGGGCATACGACATAGTACCAGGGACTAAATTTGCATCAACAATCAGACACCTACTGCTGCTGCATCAACATCACTACTACAATGTCTGCAGCACGGCTGGTGCCCATGCCTTGATACGCCTGTAATATTGCAGAAAACGGCGTTAAACTACACTCACTCACTACTACTTCTACAGCTACTACTACAGATACAACGACTACTACTACTTCTACTATATACTACTTCTACCCATGCTCCACACAGCTACTCCTTCATATAACAGTGATCTTGCCGGAGACAAATGGCATTTGGCCAATTTAACTATTTTATCAACTTTTAATGCGACATGCTTCTATATTATTAACAAATATGAAAAAAAAACACTTGAGGACATTTTGAATGACAATATGGTAGTATCCAAGAAAATGAATCGCTCTGAAACCTTGGACTATTTTTACTACTACTACTACTACTACTACTACTACTACTCCTTCTACTACTACTACTACTACTACTACTACTACTGGGGCGGTCGGGTAGCCTTGTGGTTAAAGCGTTTGCTCATCATGCCGAAGACCCGGGTTCGATTCCCGACTTGGGTACAATGCGTGAAGCCCATTTCTGGTGTCCCCGACTCCACCCCAGCACCCATACAGCTACTTCTCTGACTGCTGTACTGCCGACGGGACTATTACTATATCTCTAACCTCGACGCTTGTACACCCAACTATTTATTCACTCTCTTACGATGGCATATACAATACCTACGTTGGTTATACATATGATCCCTACGTTGATCCAGGACGATAATGCTGTATCCTAATCCACTGCAGGCGCAATTTAACATACGTAGCCTCTGTATACAGTTTACTATAGGAAAATTAAAACTCATTTTCCCCTTCGGGTACAATATCATTATCACAGCTACCATTTCCAGTTGGTTTAAAATGCTGTAATAATTAATACATGGCGTTATATTATGGGTTTAATGTTTAGCAAAATAGTGTATTACATAGACCGGAGGTGAAATGTTAACATATTGCATACCACGGCACTGACCAGCAAAGAATGCTAATTATAGAACAAATTAACCTGTTATGCCACGATCACGTGACGGAGAGGTCAGTGACCGTGACGATCTGTCAGACCACAACATTTGGTCGCTATTTGGATCACTGACTCTCACTGTATATGGCCATGGTGTGTTTCAGATAACTTCATGCGTAGGTACATTTAGACTTGCACAAGTCTCAAAGGCAATAGTTTAATTAATAATTTCTTGATTATATAAATAATAAGAACAAGTTGTGTCTATAAGAGACTGCCGTGCACCTATCTAGACTTGCCTATTATAAGGACATAATTACTCTACACTAGTCTGTCTTACAGACCCTACAAATATATATCAAATACAGCCCATGCAAGTCTGTAATGTTTGGCAAGTCTAGATCACTGCAGTATCTGAAAATGTAGAGAGTCACTGGGCTCCTTTTTATTATATTTTTTTAAGATAACTGAACAACTGTTTTTTCTGTACATGTTCATTTCACTGACTAGATGTTAGTCTAACTCTACACCAATGATCTCACCATTCAGTACAGCCTTGGAGCAAGGCTAGGGTACAATGAACTAACCAGATTCGATGGTCTGTGCATGAGTTCAGTGAAGGTCTAGACGTGTAATTAGTGCCGTGTGTGTAATTATCACATTTTCTATATGTAGTCAGAGTAATCATGCTCCATCGATTTAGATCAGAAAAATGAGTTTCACAGACGGTTAAATAATGTCTGTAGTCCGAACGACGTGACAGACATGTGGGGATCCGATTTCAGGAGTTGATATCCCAGATTCTCCCCCTTAGTAATTCAGACCCGTGAAGATCCGGGGTAGAATAGGTCTTCAGCAACCCATGCTTGCCGTAACAGGCGACTATGCTTGTCGTAAAAGGCGACTAACAGGATCGGGTGGTCAGGCTCGCTGACTTGGTTGATGCATGTCATCGATCCCAATTGCGTGGATCGATGCTCATGATATTAATCACTGGATTGTCTGGTCCAGACTCGATTTTTTAAAGACCGCCATCATATAGCAGGAATATTGCTGAGAGTGGCGTAAAACAACAAACCAACCAACAACAACCTTAGTAATTCTTGGTTTGTCCCTACTGTCATAGGTGATGATTTTGAACCGGTGTTAAAGTTGAGAGCTGGTACAACCATACAGCCGTGTCACCAAGACATTATTGTCGGCGACCTGCGTCAAGTTCCTTCTCGTAAAGCAGACCCGACTCGTTATATCTGAACGGCGTCAAATCCAACTCGCTCACTCGATAGGGAGTACATCTTCACGGTCTATGCTCTCCGCTCACCTGTCAAGTCTGATGTTACAGGTAAATCCCGTGAAATCGATATGATGAGGGACGTATATGACGGCGGTTTGTAAAAAAATCGAGCCTGGACCAGACTATCCAGTGATTGACGTCATGAGCATCGATCCACGCAATTGGGACACGATTACATGCATCAACCAAGTCAGCGAGCCTGACCATCCAATCCCGTTAGTCGTCTCTTACGACAAGCATAGTCGCTTTTTACGGCAAGCATGGTTTGCTGAAGACCTATTCTACCCCGGATCTTCACGGGTCCACACATACAGTGTACACATTAGAACGTATAACACCAAAAGGCTTATTTGAAGTAGTTCACAGTTTTTCAGTGCGACGCGTAGAAACGTAAAATTTCCCGGTAAACCGTCTTCTACGGTAATGTATTGTCATTGTCATATGCGCAAGGGCACTTTCAAGGTCAATATGGAAAGTAGGTCCACAGTCAAGAAAACAAGAATTTATTATTATAATTATTCATACGCATATCTAGATAGTCTGTCTCCCCGGCCCTAGAGAATACATTAAAAAAGGAGCCAACTTAAGTCTAGAATGATTTGGCAAGTCTAGATTGCCTGAAATTAAGGATTGTTCTGAGCTACATTTGGATTTTGTTTATAGATCTATTTTCTTTGTACAGTATAATTTTATTTCTGGGACTAAATGCTAGTCTAATATTAAGATTGAAAGGTAGAATCTGAAAAATTAATTTTATGTTGTGTATATAAACAAACCGAACATGTGGAGAAGTCAATGTCACGGGTTGTATGTGATAACCACTTTGAAGAAACCCACGGGGTATGGTGCTCGAGGGGCGGTCGGGTAGCCTAGTGGTTAAAGCGTTCGCTCGTCACGCCGAAGACCCGGGTTCGATTCCCGACATGGGTACAAAATGTGAAGCCCATTTCTGGTGTCCCCCGCCGTGATATTGCTGGAATATTACTTAAAGCGCTATGGTGCTCGAATCATAATCAGGACGAATCGGGATTCGAACCCCAAACCAGGGCTTGCTAGCCCGCCGAAAGGAAGCAA